TCCGTTCTGTAAGTACACAACGACAGCAGCATCACACAAACGCCTCATTTTGGCCTCTCGTGTGCGAAAGCCAGCCATATAACAGGTTCTAGCTGCGTACATTGTCATAAGTGACTACCGCAGCCCTGCAATGCATCTAGACTACTCTGTGCAGAGCCGAAGACGCCTTGTCAATGCTGTGGGTTTGTGCAGAATGGAATGATTGTCTTGTACTGACAAAACGGACACTTTCCTGCATAAGCGTGACATACTTTCATTCGGTGTGATTGGCCGGCCAAGTCACTTTGGCTCTTGCCACGTCTTGAACAACGATGGTTCGCTCGGTCGTCGTGGCGCTTCTTCCTGTCATCGTGTCTGCCGCCCTGTGCACGGAAACAGACTTCATGCCCCTCACGACGGTGCTCGTCGCGTGTGCGACAGTGTCTGGTATGCCACCCACCGCACTCCAAAGCACGCCATCGACGGGAGACATTGCCAGGTTGTGCCAGTTCCCGCAATGCAAGGGATTTTTCATGTCTCTGGCATCCCTAAAATGCAACGACGCCAATGGCGTCCCGCTTGCGTCGTCCAGCGGCGTGTGCAATGGGGTTGTCGCTGGCCCAGCCGCCTCAACGACCAAACCATCGACAGGATCATCCCCTTCAACGACGGTTGCAGGCACTACAACCAGCGCCCCGAAACCTTTCGCGACCAGCTCTGGCCTTGTGGCTGTTGCGTCGGCTTGTGCACTTGCTGTGGTGGCTGCCGCCGTGAACTTGTAGTTTATAACAACCTGCACAATCGAGTGGATGTATCTGTGATATTCGCCGTTCACCATGTTGATCCATCTACGCCCAAGATATACGATTGTATCGAGGAGTGGGGTCCTGGACGACGGTGGAAGTTAGCGGCGTATCGCGTCAGTACCTCTGGAGCACTGGATCGACGTGATATCCTTTTGGGCAGATCTGGAGTCGAGAAGAATGACGAGCCCCAATGGCATCGATGACGGCGCACTTGCCTCATATGGATGGGGCTCACGGGAGACTGGAAACGTTGACGTTTAAAAGGGTTGCCTGGTCCTGCTTCAAGGGCGTGGCCGCCGGAGCGTCGTCCCCCCACAGCACGCCAAAGGGCGAAAGTGCTTTCATAGTGTGTTTCCGGGTGTGAATGTGATTGCTCCTCAACTCTGTCTCAACTGGATGTGGTCCCAATGGAATGGAGGCACCAGCGTGTGTGAAGCTCAGGCAGTATTGACTACAATCCAAACAATCAAATCCATGCGATCGCATCGGCGATGAACGAGGCTGTTCATGGATCGCTCGCTCACCCTTGATCGGGCTCGACAGCCTTCTTGGATATTTCCGATCAGACACAGGCTCCATGTCCCACCAAGGGTCTCTGTCACCCTGCACAGTGGCTACCACATCCCATCCATTGTCGCTATCAACTGACAAATGTTGGGCGTCTTCTCGTCCAAGTGACCAATGCGACACTCGACGTGTACTTTAATCAACATCACGAGAGCGTGTGGAAGTGGTCAACGTCGTTCGTGGTTGGATCCATGTGCATTACTGGGTGGATGGAAAAATTTTCGTCGCACGATCCCCCAACGTGCGAACGGCACATCCAAAAATCCAACGTCTTGGCGACACTTCCGCTCGTCCGAAGGAGCAGCACAAAGTCCTGCAACGCCAACGAAGGATTGTACGAACCACGGTTGCAGTGCTGGGATTTTTTATACGCTACAGATGCGAACTTGAATGTGCCGATGCAATTCCAGTTGATGGCTGGGAATGTGGCATCCAAATCGATGGCTAGCCACGACAATGGTGTTGTGCAGGACATCACGAAGATTGCATCCACGTTGGCCACTCCATCATCATCATCTCGTCACACGATGCTGCTTCGTTATGCCCGAACGATGAGGATACGAATTCTCCCATATCCTGTCCGGCGACAGTGGATTTTCTCGCATCAATCAAAATGGAAGTTGAGATTTTGGCTCTCGCGCACATGGTCGCTGTCGCAAATGTGTCGCTGCTTCGATTGAGTTTGGATCCGTCCCCGCGACCACAGCACTCCTTATGACCACGGGACGTCTCGATAATTTCGTCCTCGCTGCCCCGTTGATGCTGCAATTCAACCAGATTGTTCATGTTTCACGTAGTGTGCACCCCCGTCTTGGTTGAATGGTGTGTTCCACGACAGAAGGCATGCCTGACCGCCTCGGTCTCCTGAACACAGAAGTAGAATTGGGCATTCTGTGGGCGCTTGGGCATATTCTTCATGTGACTGGAAGGTCCTTGTGCGCTACATAACTGCTGGACGAGCTCCGTTGGTGAAGCCAGGCGAGACATGCCTGGGTCACGACCACCAGCGGTTTGGTCAAGCACAGGATGAAGATGGCATCGTGGTGGTTAGGTGAGCTGCATACTCGTTGAGTGAGGTGGCATCATGCACAGCACACGCAGGGAAGGAATGTGCGAGGGATTTCAACATAATGAGATTTATATTCATTACATCATGGATGCCGTGGCGGCCACGACGAGAGCACCCGTGGAAACGATGGTGACGATGCCATTGCTGGTCACAGCATTCGGAGGAGCGGAAGTGGCAGCGGTCGAGGCCGTGGTGATCGGACTAGCCGTTGTGGCTGATACAGGCGTAGTTGTGTCGTTCGCTGGCATTGCCGTGGTGGCGCCAGACAATGCGCTGCACGCAGTGGCCACCGCAGCGATCGAGTTACCTTCAGCATCCGTGCACTTGAGGGTCGCAAGGGACCGGAAGAATGCTTGACACGCCGGGTATTGGCACAACTTGATGACGTCGGCGGGAGTGGCCGTGCCCGACAGAGCGGTAGGGCTGATGCCCGACGCGGTCGTGCATGCGACGATTTCAGTCAAGAGTGGCAAGAAATCAGCTTGAGTGCACACAGCGCCCGACGCGAGTGCTGGAAGGGCCAGAAGCAAGAGCGATCGGACCATAATGTTTGTTGGACAGGCTCGGTGGCAAAAGGCAAAGTGCACCTCCCATACCAAGCACCAGCATTTTCTCCATATTTTTGCTCCATCCTCTCCCCGATATGTTGAAAACATCACACCGAACAAGTGTCCTCAAATAAATCGAACTAAATGTCATTTATGTCTATAAACGTGCCGGATATCTGCAGATCCTTGCCCCGGATATTGCATACTTTATTCAAGCGTGTATTATTCTTATGGCCGACTTGTGAGAAGTCACACGATATTATGAACATTCGTATGTGTCGTTTTTACGACGGTGGGATGTTCTGAACAGACTGGAGAATGGAGCCGGTTGTGTGACTTGGAGTGTCTCGAACAACGAGTAAACGGGGTGGCAAGGTGCCTACACTCGGACGAAAGGGAAGAGGGGCGACTTCGATTGTTTTGGCGGCGGGCACGGACTAGGGAAGGACCTTGAGACCAGCTCGACCCCGACGTTGAGTCGCAAGGCCCACCATTTCGGACGTCTATCTCAAATTTAGACGTCTTGGTTGCGTTCAAAATTCCACGGCAACTTGCCTGTGGGAAGTGGCCGGATACGAGCGACACAACGTATGCATGACGGGAGCAATCACTGTGGACGTCGCGTACATACTTGAGCTGGATCGGTGCATTTCGACTCTCAAGGCAAAGGGCCATTCGGGCGGGTGAACTAGCGATGTATTGGAGCAGTGGCCTGCCGCCTCGAATGGAGGCCGGATATGGGTGGAACGATCGATGACGACAACGACCAGTATACCCGTGGCGGCCACGTTTCGCAGTGTGAGTCAGCATTTAGTTACCCTGCACGCGGGTAGTTGTATCCCAACAGAGCGCTGAAAGTACACATTCACGCAGCGCCGCCCTTCATGATCACGTGGCGGGACGTGATGCGCGAAGTGCTCCCCCTCCACTGAATTCTACATTCTGTACGATCCATGTCAAGGCTTTGCGCTGATGGCCGGTACCGTGTCGCCGGCGTGGAGCTCGAGTGGCCAGAGCAATGGTATGGAATCGGAACGATGCAGGCTGCGCCATTGTGTAAATGAGCCGTTGTCAGTTCCAAGCTGCACTTGTACCTGCTCGACACATTG